ATTAAATGATTAAAATCAAATACAGTATATTCCATAAAAGAAGTTTTCAGTTTGCTGGTTTGAAAGATTCAGTTGTGTTTCCACAATGTCAGAGGAAACAATGAATTTTTGTTTTTGTTTTATCAGTGTTTGCACTGGCAATGCAATGCACACTATTGTGATTCGTTTCCCATCCAAGTCATCTCCAATTTGCCATGCTTCTCCTCCTGCATGCTTTGTCCTAGAGCTGCCATTGTAATTTATATCTGTAAAGCCCCTGTGCCAAAYNATGGCTATGCCTTTTGGTGCCTGTAAAACTTATAGTTTTTGAAATATTAATGTTTAATAAATTATAATGGCAGTCAATGGAGCCTTGTATTGGCCCAATACTGCCCCCTGCTGCCTCTACACAATATGAGACTGCACCATAGTTTTATAATATTTAAACTCAATAGTTCAGTGATTACAATATTAATATGATTGTATTTTGATGTTTTACTGTAATACTGTCTTTATGGTGTCCTATTGCTGTAATACGTACAGTATATTGCACTTAAGTGTCAATAATTGCATTGGCAAGGTAAACTTTTTCTGTATACATACAATCAATCCCTGGGATTGTCCTCTGCCACATCTATAGTCTCATGATGAGCACTGTGGGCTTTCATGCGGGAGATCAGGGTTCAAATCTAGCTACTGCAGCTTTAACAAAAATCTCTTCAAACTTCATATTGTCACACAATTACCTTAGTTACAAACACCTGCTGACGTGACAGGTACAAGCTGGTATAGAAARCAYATTTKAACTTGGTCAAAGTTCATTCTGAAAGTCCAATGCTCCTGCCTACATTGTCCTACAGCTGCCATTGTAATTTCTATCTTTAAAGGTCCTGTGCCAAATGATTTCTATGCCTTCTGGTGCCTGTACAACTTGTAGTTTTTGAAATATTAATGTTTAAACTTTATTCCAAATTTATATAATGGGAGTCAATGGGGCCTTGTAATGGTCAGATACTGCCCCCAGCTGTACTCAACTTGGTACTGCACCATAGTTTTCTAATATTTAATCTCAATAGTTCAGTGTTTACAATACTAATATGATTGTATTTTGATGTTTTACCATATCATTGTCTTAATACTGCTCTATTGTTGTAATATTATGCAGTTTAGTGTCAATAATTGTATTAGCAATGTGGCCTCTTTCTGCACACATACAAACCAACCCCTGGCACCACACCCTGCCACAGCTCCAACAGTCTAATGGTCTATGTCATGGGCTTTCATGTGGGATATCAGGGTTCAAAACCCAGCTAATGCAGCTTTAACAAAAAATCTCTTCCAACTTCATACTGTCACTCACTTACCTTAATTACAAACACCTGCTGACATGACAGGTATAAGCTGGTTTAGAAAACACATTTGAACTTGGTCAAAGTTCATTCTGCAAGTCCAATGCAGGCAAAAGCCATGCTACATGGCAATGCACACTTGTTTTTACATCGTAAAAACCCATGTCTAGTTTGGTTTATTGTTTGTTTGAAATTAATAAAAATTTTTGTTGTAAATAGGAGCAGATATCATAAGTTTTTTTTCTGCTGCTGCCTCTCATTTTATTTGATTTGTATTGTTTTGTAATGGGTTTTGTTTTGTTTATTTTTTTTAATGAAATGAATAAATTTGAAATTTGATTTGAATTTGAATTAATATTGACATGACTGCATGTTAAGAAAGACTTCTCAAGTCAGTTTTTACAAGTGTAATGTGGGTAAAAGAATACAACCTTTGTTTCTTTCAAAAAGTGGATATTTCAGAATGTTTGACCCAAAATCAGACTGTAATGCTGAGAGGGATTGAAAGAGAGAGAAAGGGAGAAGGCGGGGATGTCTCAGATTAAACAGGCCTTATAGTACAATAAGAAAAATACTGATGGAGCATGTCTATTTTTAGAGGTTTGCCAAGAGAAAGCCTCTTCTCTTGAAAACAAACAAAGCAGCACAGCTTGGGTTCGCAAAGTTGCATCCGAACAAACTGCAGGACTTTTGGAAGAACGCCTTTTGAACAGGCGAGAACAAAGTAGAGATGTTTGGCCAGACTGCACAGCATACCAGCACATGTACCTTATGCTAACTGGGCAATAAAAGAGCAGCTGAATAAGAGGTCTACTCAAGAATAAAATGAGGACTTTTTTGCTAAAAATCTTGTATTTGGAACACTAGTCAACAAGTGCTAAATTCTGAAATGAAAAAAAATCAACATACTTCTTTGTCCATGTATGGTTTGTTCTTTGTTTTTTCTGTTTCAAAATAAAACCAAAAAACAGTTGGGTATTTTTTTAGTTGTGTTTTAAAATTAAATTACAAAAACAACAGTTGCAAAAATTACATTTTCACTTCTCACCATAGATATGTTTGTCTTATTTAGAGGGAGCCGACGCAACTCATTGAGAGCTGATGATCTTAGTGTGAACAACATTGCTTTAATATTCCCTCATTATGCAGAATAAGGTTTGAATGCAGCCATTGCCAATATGTTCAGGAATGGTTTCTGTTTTTAAGCTGTCTTCCAACCACCATACAGTTAACTCTTCTTCTTTGGTGACTACTGTCATATTCGGTATCACTACATATTAAAACAACAACCTTATTTTGAATTTAGATAGCTGAAGCAAAAATAAAACACTGTGAATTATGATTTAGTTCAGTTTTACATTTAGGCTTCAAAATGGAGTGGCACATGGCTCAGTTGGTAGAGCTGTTACCTCTCGGCAAGAAGCTTACCAGATCGAATCCCAGCCATGGACATTTCTGGGTAGAGTTTGCATGTTCTCACCATGCATTTGTAGGTTTTCTCCAAGTTACCTCCATGCTAGGCTTAATGGTTATTTGTCATGACCTGTCCCAGGTGTACCCTGCCCCTCGCATTGTGACTGCTGAATATGGGCACCATTGACCCTGAAAGGGATTTTATTTGAAAATAAAAATAACGAACCACACCCAAATTCTTCTTTAACATTTTGTTGTAATCCAGTTTGGTCATACATGTATGTTTACGTCAAGTCAGCAATTTATCATCTGAGTTTCATATTGTTTCCTGAATGAACAATTCATCAGACAAAAAAAAAAGAAATTGCTTCTCAACCTCATTTGGACTCTGTGCTCTCTGTAGTCAGAAGAGTCTTTAGTAACTTCCACCAGCTCTAACTTGCACTCTCAGTTTCTGTCAACTCAGCAAGGCTGCCTATAGGGAGACGTCACAAATCCTCACAATCTGTTTACTCTCTGAATTGGATCTACTCTGAGTGAAGTCGTGGACAAAACACTGCTGTCAGAGAGGCTATTGTTACATCTGCATTACATTTAATTACCACATGCAGCTAATTGGGCTCCTGCACTTGTCTCAGGTCTTGGTAACACACAGTTATGATAATGAGCTGGTGGTAGACTCTTCCTGCAGGTGTGTGTGTGTGAGTGTGTGTTAGTGTAAGATAGCCTGGCCTACCAATTGCTGAGTATTATTTAGCAGACTTTATTATCTGACACTTTGCATATCTCTATTCCGTCTCGAGATTTTATCACCGTACTCTTATTGAAATAATTTTCATTTAGCTGTCACTTAAACATTTAGCCCCAAAACTCACAGAAGACTTGACACTTAGAATTTCCTGTGACAGGGGGAGCGTGGAGGAAGATAAAGGGCTGCGCTGTCTGTGTGATTTATGGATTTCATAAAGCCTAACCCCCTCTGCTGCCATCCGACACACCATCCTTCTCCGAACGCACCAAGCTCTCACAACAATGGGGTGGCTTTTGGTTCTTGTCAGTGCCGCACGCGTGTACACATCCACGCAGACACACAGCGGGGTCAGAGCTTCGGTTCTGTCAGCGCAGCCTCCCACTGAGCTCAGAGCAGCACCTCAGCCATCACCACTCTAAAGTAAACCCTAATGGGGCTCCTGCGCTCATTTGTGCGCACATCCACGCTGACGCGAGCTCCAGCCTGACAGCTTTTTTTGCAATCTTGTGTTCTGATTCTTTCTACTGATCTCATTTACCTCGTGTAAAAAAAAAAAAAAAGAAGAAGAAGAATCTGGCCTGCAAATTTTTCTGTTAACCCGAGCAAACAAAGATACAACGGAGGCGGCTCATAAATGCAGAGGACGGGGAGTCTTGTTATAGGAATAAAAAAATAAAACAGCATTACCCGGCACCATCCCCAGACGCATCAGCGTTTGACAGGTGGCAGCAAATAACACGCAGGTCTGCATGTCAGCAACACTGGTGTGATTGCTCTGCTGTAGGGACAGATGTGGCAGTGTAGGAAAGACGTGCACTTTGTCTGCGTCCAAGGCACCCAACGTCAGCACTATCAGGTCCGACGCTGCCAACTGCGTGTCAGTTTCCTTTCCCTCCCTAGTCCCAAGTCATTCTCCTCCTGCTTTTTTTATGGCTTCAGCATCATATGCCCATTTTACAATCTCTCCTCTTCCCATATCCTCAGGGTAGATGGTAATCCTTTCATAACAACATGTATACAGACCAATTTGGCAGCTTCAGCAGTGTGCCTCCCTCACAGAGGAGACACAGAGGCTAATTCTATCAATGAGTGGGTACTTATAACATCACCGGGGGATTGAATCCTATGCCTTTATGGCTGTATGGTTTTATAGGCAGAGTGTTAATGATGTGTTTGGTAATAAACCTTATCAGATAAGATTTTTAGGCCAGCAGTTTTAAACCTATGTGACCTTGGGGAAGGATGGGAAGTACCTGGCACGAGTGTCGCCCAGCATCCCATGCCTCTTTGCAAACATTTATGAAACTGGCTGGTCCTCGGTGGTAAAAACGATTATTAGAATGGCTTTCGCTTTCTTGACTGGACTCCCAGGCATAGCTGGCCAATCCCTATTACTTCTGTTCCCACTCTTGCTTCCAAAAAGCATCAATGGGATGAATGTTTGGGTTGTTTAGCATTAATCATTGTTGGTTTTTTTACTAATCTTCCACTCCTCTCACCCTCCACAGCCCCCTTCTCCCCTCTGGGCAGTGAGACGGTGGTGAAGTTCGACTCCCAGGGAGACGGCATGGGCAGATATAACATCTTCAGCTACCAGCGCTCCGGCGAACGTTACGGCTACGTGCCGGTGGGTGAGTGGGCAGAGAGTTTGAGTCTGAACAACGAGCTGATACACTGGCCAAGAGAGGTGGCGCCGACCTCACAGTGCAGCGACCCCTGTGAACTTAATGAGATGAAGAAAATGCAGGCAGGTGAGCGAGGACATTTGAACTGTTTTTTTTTTCTTTGCCATAGTAACGTAATTAAGTTCAGTGTGATTTTAAAAAAATCACTAATGTGCGCTCTCATTTATTTTTGTTTTCCAGGTGAGTACTGCTGCTGGATCTGTACAGCCTGCGAGCCTCATGAATACCTGGCTGATGAGTTCACCTGCTCGCCCTGTGCTCCTGGTCAGTGGCCCACTGACGACCTCACATCCTGTTATGACCTTCCGGAGGACTACATCATGTGGGAAGACGCATGGGCCATTGGTCCAATTACCATCGCCTGTGTGGGGTGAGTGGAAAAGAACCCATTCTACCAGTTTAGCTGGGAATAACACAAAAGATGTAGTTATTCAGCTGGTGGGTGACTTCTGTCCAGCCGACCCCACCGCCCCTAAAAAATGTTTACATTTTTTCTTATCAATTTATTACAAAAATTGATTTTAAATCTGTTGTACATTTAAAATTTATGATTCAGTTCAACAAAATACATTTAAAAGGTAAAAGATAATACTGGTTCTGTTACATTTTATCGTGTTTCACCTAACATTAATGGGCAACCTCCCACCACCACACACACACACACACACACACACATGCAAACCCCCCGTGCTGAAATGGACAGAAGCGGAAGGTGGCTCTTAAAGAGACAGAGGCCAATTTCAAGGCGTTCAGAAGAGGAAGTGATGAGAAGATACATTTATTTTCTATTTAAACATAAAAACAGAATTTTAATAACAACTAAAGATGACATAGATACTTTACTATGGTATAGTATTTAAATGTACGCCTGAGAAACACATAATACTGCCCCTTAAAAATAACTCCTAGCTCCAAATTCTTACAGCCATTCATGCAAATGATATTTTGTAAACCTTTAGATTTCCATCAGTTTTATATTACATTATTATTCCTGCAAATATATGATGATATTCTTCCCAGAAATGCTAATGATATATTCTGATTATTTTATTTGGGCTTGAAAATCACAAAAACATTTTGTGTAAGAAACTATTATGTAAAATAGGCAATATTGTGAGGTTATATGTGGTTAAGAGTATTTTCATGAACCACCATATAGTTATTATTTTTTATTTA